TATCCTTGGAATAATTTTTCTTTGCACATTTTAATTCGATTACTAGCTTTTACACAAGATAATGATTTAAACTAAATTGTTATTGCATTAAATTTATTTCAATCTCTCGGAAAAGAAAGAGAAAGAAAGTATGTATTGCCCAAATCCAATCACAAAATGCCTAGTGCTTTTTTCCAAACAGTTAATCTACATAGTCTTTATAACAATATACAAAACGTTGGGAGATGCCAAAAGCCTGAAATGATATTTTAGAGCAGGGTAGAAGCTTTGAGTAAACAAGTGTAATAAATTTATTTACTACTCTAATCCTATTCAGTTGAGGTGTCAAAGAAATTTTTTCCTCTCTGAAACATCTTCGGGACGGCTAAATGCCAACTGCTGTACTTTTGCCTTTTTTCAATGAAAAGTTCTATTTCTCTATGTACCGTTGAAGATAAGATTAGCCTGAAACTTTTAAATTTATCTTCTTAATCGGCAAATTGGAATACGTCACCAAAACTCGATATGTCCTTGAACAAAAGATCTCGACAAATGTCAATTTCCCTGGTAATAAATTCGCAGATAGCCTGGATAAAAAGGACCCCATTGATCACATCTGACTCATAACTTATCTAGAGATTTTCTCCACGAAGAAAAATTTCAACAGGCAACTCTGATAAACCCGTCCTTTTCACCACTGGTTTGACAGAAAAAGCCCTGATGGTGCTCAAAGTATCGGTGCTTAATCGGATCAAAGTGCAGTCTTACGATTCATCAGTGGCCATTTTAAAAGCTAAACTTTCGAATTCGGCGGCTAAATCTTCCCAACATGTAGCAAATGCATTAAGACTTGCTTCCGCGGAACACATCTTTGATTGCCTGGAATTTTCCTTGGAGGACACTCTCTTGAGGCCAATTTTTGTATGCGACTTTGATGGAGCATTTGGGCTCATGGATTTTATTTAGTTGAGACTGTATTGTGAAGGATTCGAAACAAAATCACAACAGCAAATTGTCCATCCTGATGACGATTTTTGTCACAGAAAAGTGGGGGGTGGGGCCTAATAAGGGAGACACTCCTTGATTGGCGTATTTTTTAAACCAATTACATTATTAGGAGCCACATCAATTACTAATTTCACGTGTACACAAGAAAATTGAAAATTTATTAACACTTAAAAACAGGTGTTAGACAGCGTCTTGATTTTTACTAGATCTTGTGTGTTATGTTTTTTTTTATGTTCAAGGGGACTTAATGTATAGCTTTCTCCTTTTCGTATGTTTTATTTAATTCATGTTGATGGAGACTTAATTTGATTTTAAAAGTTGAGAATGTCGTTACAACATTCTGGGATTTTATTTATCGTAGGGTGGATCACTTCAATTAATTGATTTGAAATAGATTACTTCAGGTGCCAATTACATACCTGCCAACTTTTACGCGTTTGGCGTAAAATTTTATTTTTATATTTAAAGTGGTAGTAAATATATATTATTTTTTCTTTTATAAACTTAATATTTAAAGCATTTTGATCACCACTCTTCTTAAAAAAATTAAGCATGTATATATATATATACACGTTACTGTCGTAGTTGTCAGTCTAAGCTTTTTCAAATGCAACGTATTCTTTTGCGTAAAATTGAAATTCCATTTTGATACCACTTGGAAAAATCCTAATGGAATAGATTAAAAGTTGGCAGGTATGCAATTACGTATGCTTGTGAATGGAAAAATGTCATTAGCTTCAAAACTAATGTGGAATAGTACATGTTTTTCATAATGTAATATTAGTAATTTTATTTAAGATGAAATGAATAAAAGTGCTGAATAAGAAAGGATAAGTCATAAGAGATAAGTGATAAGAATAAGTTCCACTTCAGCTCATATTAAAATGGCTAATTGGGATATTCTGTACGCTAATAAGAAATGAATGCCTATAATAAGTTTTGATCTTATCTAATGATCAGATTTTAATGATCTTATTAATTTGAGAGCTTAACCTTGAACATGTTAACTCATGTTGACGATATTTTAAGTTTTGAAATAAGACGCAAAGATGTGCCTTCTCAAAATAAGCATATTTACTTATCACAGATTAAAAATCCTGACCCCCGGAATATGTTAGGGAACGGAGGCAATTGCAACCTGGAAAATATGATACCAATAATTAATGCTGGTGACTGGTTAATAATCCAGATCCTTTCATGTTAATTTCACTTTTTGTGTATTTTGTGATATCTCAAGAACTTTATGAACGAATCAAAAGCTTTATGAGCCAATGATTTGTAAAATAATAATTATTATTATTTTCTTATTTTATTAATTAATAATTAATTTGTAGTAGTAGCCGGATTTCGGATAGTCGGCGGTATCACTTTGTTAGCAAACAGTTTTTTTAGTAGCAAATTTGATGTATCTTTGGTGCTTTATTGAGGTATTTTAACTTATGTACTTTAATTTTCTTTTCTTTTTAATGCATGAAGACCTAAGCCAATAAGCATAGGCAAAGATTCTCTGTTTATGATTTAGTATTATATTGTATGTACGGAATTGAGACGAAAAATGGGAGTAGAGTACTTTGAAGATTTAATCTTTTTTTTTAAAAAAAGGCACGTAATATTTAGGAATATAATTATTTCGAAACATTACGTGCCAGCTGCTACAGAAACAAGAAAAAGCGCATTTTAAAGCGGGGAGATTTTTCTATTGCTCATGCCAACCCAAGTTAATATCTCTCCTAAATGTTTATTCACAGCTCTACTTAAAATAGTTTAACCTCGCTACTATAGTCACCGAAAACTGCCGAAGGGAGTACTTTCATACTCCCTTCAGCACACATGCATGTGAAGTACAGATAGTACTTCACATGCATGGAACAATAGCTTATTGCTCTAACAAAAACTATAAGACTAGTATATTTCATAATGGAGAACAAACATCTACCAAAATGTTCATAAAAAATCCTTTGGCTGATACTTTGAAATTAATACTATATTCCATAATTTAATAAATTCTTCACATAGTTACTTAAGTAGTTTAACTAGTAACTTACTTTCACATTCATCTTTGTTTGTTTCTGGTTTCTTTCCCTCCTTCAGTTTGTACCCAGGTTCACATTCACAGAAGAAATCAGTACCTTTTGTTACACATTTCGATGACGGAGATTTGCATTCAGTACCTTTACAAACGTAGTCAGCAGCTGTAATAACATAATTTTTTATTATCTGTTCCTCCATGTCTCCTTATGAATAAATCTTTTCATGTATAATTCTTTCGGTGAATAAATCTTTTTATGAACAAACTCATTTTCAGGGTATCCATGTTAAAACTTTAAGATGCGTCTTAAATCTAGAATCCATTATTAATAATGAAAATGCCAATAGGATTTACCAAATAATTTAACGTTTATTTTCCCTAATGATCAGCATTACGTGCCTTCTCATTTTATTTTATTTTATTTTATTTTATTTTATTTTATTTTATTTTATTTTATTTTATTTTATTTTATTTTATTTATTTATTTATTTATTTATTTATTTATTTATTTATTTTTTGTTCATTTATTTATTTATTTTATTTATTTATTTATTTTCTTTGCAATTTTTAGAATTTTTAATTTTAAGCCGCACTTATACTACGCGTTCTTTATTGTAAAGCAAAAATTAATACGTTATATGAATTATTGTATACCAGAGGAACTTTAGTCCTGCTAGCTACTTTTTAAAAAAACTATTTTTCCTATTAATACCAACAATGAGGAAGGATATTATGTTAAGATCTAACCAGTAGACCGTAGCAAATGGGCAGATATTTCCCGTAGATGTGAAATTGGACTTTTCTTTATGTTATACTTTGACATCAAAAGGATATTTTTACTTTTCATATAATTCTGCAGCCATTGAAAAAGCTTTGGTTATATTATTGTCCTCAGCATCTTGGTTAATGAAAGTTTATACGAAGCCACTTAACTACATAACTGCATATTTGATAAATGTGATAACAAGCTGTGATATCTGTTACTGCGTATATTTTATTAAAGTTGGAGTGGTGCGAAAAAAGAGTTTTCGATAATTGCAAAATACTACCCTCAAAAGTAGTATATGGATTTGTATATTACACGCAAATTTTTTCACATATCTTATCCATCATCTTCATATCAATCAAAAACCTTAAATTTTGGAATTATTTTTAAAAATATCAAATTTTTGTAAAATTTTATAAATTTGACTGATTAAAACTAAGTCCTTCTCAAATTTTCTGTATTGAATGTAATATTGCTTGTTACTTTTTTTTCTTCAGCATTTTTAATCATATGTTCCTTCATGCAATGCTCTTAAATATTGCAATTTTTTCAATTTTTACAACCATTTTCCGTATTATAGTGATGCATTGCAGATTTATTTTCACAATAAACATTTCAGATTCAGACGAAAATCAGCAAGCTATATTGAGAAGCATTGAAAGCATGGATTTTTAAGCCATCAATGGATTTCTCTTTTTGCAAAAGACCGCTGGTTACGTTATCCATTGTTTAGCTGTTTTGTGGATCAATTCATTTTTAGACTTCCTGACTCATGACAAGTGAATAGGTTAAATATATCCTCAACTCGAAATAAATAAAAGTCTCCTTTAAATGGTTATCTAAGAGAATCTATTTGTAATTAACTGTCCAGCGAGAAAATGTGTTACAATTGGGTTTAGCTAAATAACAGCGACACATTCGCACATAAAATGCAAAAAAAGTGAAATTGGAGTAGAAGTTGCTCTCAAACTTAGGAAAATTCGGTGTAAAACTTCATTTCCCGAATCGTTGCTTTGATAAAATGAGAACATAAGAAAATGCAGAAACTTTAAAAATTGTACAATCATAAAAAAATACCCATGTTTATGACTGGAATTCACGTTTTCGCAAACGAATCGGAACAACATTTTTAATCACTGCAAGCAAGTGCGTTAAATAAGAATCTTACATCAGTAAAAAATTAGTAAAGATCATTTAAAAAGATTTCTCGCTACTAGCAAACTGTAATATGAAGAAGTATAGGTTCAACTAAATTGTAAATCTTTGCGAACAGTTAATTAAAAAGATGGATAAATAGAAAATGAATCTAGCTTTAAACGACGCACATTCCAAATTTTAAGAAAGCAAGCAACAATGATCTCATTATATCAAAACATTTTAGTTAGAAAAGAAAGCAAAAAGGCGCATTCTAAAAACTTTGAAATCGATTTCAAACAAGTACCAGAAGTCTCAGGCTATCCCCCGTCTTCAACCTCAATCACACTCCAAACCATAATTAAACTTGGGGCATTTGCTAGAACATGTGCCAGATATGAAATTCCTGATAGACCTGGTCCTACCATCACGGCAGCAATACCATACGATTAACGGAGAGAAAAAACAAGGATAAAAAATGAAAGAGGAAGTTACGAAAAGGCTTTTCGATCATTGTAGACAGATGTAGAATACAATGGAAGTAAAAAAAAATAAACAAAATTTGCAGAATCAAGTAGCAGTATAGGAAGTCAAACTTCTTGACATTTGTTTTTATGTAAGAAAAAAAAAACGTTCGTCATGGTGGAGGCAAAAGTTGAACATTGCCATCACAGACCTAAACTTGAACCTTATAGAGTCTTCAAGAACTAGGAGCGAGGCAAATTGGACACACCTTTACATCAACTCCTTCAGTATCAGGTAAAAGTGATTATATTTTAAATTTTTTAAACAGTGGAGCTAGTACAATGGTAAATATTCCATTCAATGGCAAATATTTACTCAAATGCATGACCTAAGAGTTCCCTTGTCTTCTGTATTTGGTTCAAAATTAAAAGGCTACGGGGTTGAACATTAGCTGTCGTAAACCAAAAAAATTGGGTCGGCTGTTCAAAGACGGTTATAAAATAAATAAAGTGGTAAATTACGGAATAAGGTGCAAGGTATTAATTTGTCTGCTTGAAAGGAGTTCGAAAAAGTGATTGGCATCTGTAATGCTTTTTCGCACTACAAATGCCAATAGGAGTGGGTCATAGGAAAGTTTCACTAAGACATATTATGAATTACCTGAACGGTCCGACTGTGAGTTTTCAAAGATTTGTTTGGATTAATGAGCAAGAGTTTGATCAACTGTGAACACCTTTTTCTAATAATTTTCAATGATTTAGTAATTTCCTTTTCTTGATGAATGAAAGTTCATTGAGTTTACATAAGCAATTAAGACATATCTACCAACTTAATGAAGTTATCTTCTTTGAATATGAAAGCAGAGATGAGCATCCGACTCTCACGATAAATAATAATGAATAATGATTCAAAATCTTCCTTAACAATGAATAAAAATTTATGCATTAGTCAGAAATATTTTGTGTAAAGAATAAAACATTCATTATTTTCAATAATTATTCTTTATCCATTAGTCAAGAATAAGTTAATTAAACGATTCAAAAGAAAATTCACCCACTCATGAAACTTATTTACCCATAGAAAATTTCATGAAAAAAATTATTTTTAATAATTATTCCGAAGCCGTGTCAATTTTAGAATCATCTGATTTTAAAAAAAAAATCAATGAATGTATGCAATTTCTGAACTGATAAACAAAAAGGCGCTGCAAGAAGGCTAACGGACTTTTTACAGAAGCTGTGAAAACAAATTTTTCCTACAATGATATTGCTCCAAGGGACCTACTCAATAATTTCGTTATTTCCAGAATGAAATCTGTTTGATCGAAGCATATTATTCTTTGAAAATTAAAACGAGAAAAAAATTTACTTTTATTATTTATCTAAGCTTATTCTATTTATTTTATGATAGCGATATCAGGGTCAAAGACATGCAATGGAAGCCCCGTTTACTATTATACTATAAATGCATTAAATCAAATAGCTTGAATAATTTATTTTAAGCAAATTATTTAATAATTTTAAGCAAATAAGGGTGTAAAAATAAACTCGATCAAAATACTCCGAAAGTATATCCTAAAGTATATGTAGAATAAACTTCGGAATCAATAGATACAAAAATACCTTTTCAAACAACTTCAAGTAGAACGGATACGCTAACTTGTTTGAATTAGCTGTCCTTCTAACTATTTAATTTCGATTCCTGGTGCTAGGGACCATTCCATTTTCACATTCGATTTTTGAAATTTCAATTGTAAACGGAAATTTTTTATGTCCTTAAAAAATGTTAGGGTTGCAGCAAAAAAAAATTTACCGCATTGGTTTTTTTAGAAAGTAGTGAATTATTATTTTTTCAATCTAAGAACATGCGCCTACGTCTTACTTAAAACTTATTTTAATATCTAGTGAAATAATTTTATATGTTAAGTTACTAACTGGATAATCCCAAGAAACTGAAACGGAAATATAAGAACTTCATTGATTTGAAAAATAATCGATGATAATAAAAAAGACATGTTTTGAGCGTCTAATAATTAAAGTCACAAGTCTGTCAAGCCTGACAAGTCTTGAGAATGGCCGCTTATATTTGAATGCTTGAAACATGTCGACTTTTACTTCCATCTTCATATTTTTTGATGCCAGTGGAGTTTTTATCATCAATTATACAGCTTTACATTAGGGTCTAATCATTATTTTGATAAGAATTTTACCCTCGTTAAAGTAAACATATGCATTTTAATATTTTAACAGGATTCATATGGTCTTTAAAAACGTAACAGCATCAATATTGTAAAAGATATAACCATAAAATTAAAATTAACCATAACCATAATATAAAGTAACCATAAAATTAAAATTTTGAGACCAGATATCTTGAGTTAATGAAATTGATTATTTTTATCCTTTAAGTTTTTGTGCCCTCATTTCAGTATCTTAAGGACCTTACGAGTTCTATTTAAAAAGAAAGTATCGTATCAGATATTTATAAGAAAACAAAAATAATCATAGTAGCAGTATTTTGGGGTAAATGTAGCTTATCGTAATTGAAGAACATGCTGTGCGAAATTTTATGGTGAATTTGCGAAAGTAAGTTTCAGAATGTATCGAAACATAAGGATACTGTTCGCAAATCATCTTAACCCAAAGTGACCTAAATATCTAGCAGAATGAAGTGATTTTTTAAACAATGAATCCAACAATATACAACATATTATTTCAATATCTTATTTTTAAACGCAACATATTTCAAAATGCCACTTAACATTCAGCAATTCCCTGAGTTATTAAAATAAGAAACGTCGTAAACTATAGAAAACCTTATAAATGTGCGTTATAATTACTATGCAATCTACATTTTATTTTTCAAGCACTTTTTTTGTTTCTTCCATTTTTTGTATCTAGACACGTATATACCTATAATAAGTTATTTAAATTTGATTTTGGAATGCAATCATCGTATAAATATAGTAAAAACAACACAAAAAATCTAAATATTGTCAAATGAAAAAGTCAATCAGTTTCTAGATAATCAGTTTCTGTACTTTTTATAAAGATTAGTCAAAAAAAATAACAAGGGACTTTTCAAATACGTCATTTTTGAGATTTAAAAAAAATTATTAAAAATGAGACCTAAATTATTCAGTAGTATTCCGTTTCAAAGTATTTTTTCCCGTCACATTTTTGTGTACGGATGATAAATGTAAAATATTATGATTTGTTATTAAATTTTGATTTCGTTTTAAATTTATAAACTGCTGTTTGTAGAAAATGCAACACCATGAAGGAATCATCAGAATCAAATGAAATTCGCAGCAAATGTCAAAGGCCCCCATTTATGCAAATTAATAAAGTTTCAGAGCCATCGCGCGTGCGTGGCGCGCGCAGCGCCCTCTGAATTGATGCTGAAAGCGTATAAATAAAGTGCTGTAGCGGGACGTTGAAAATAGTCTATGATTATTTGTTAGTGGCAAACGTTTAGTGAGACCTGAGTATGCCTCCACGACGGAAGAATAAGAAATTCAAGCAACTTACGGAGTTTGAACGAGGGAGGATAATCGGCCTTCGAGAAGGAGGATTTTCCTATCGCGCAATAGCAGCTCGTATGCAGCGGAACAGTTCCACAGTGATGCGAGTTTGGAAGCAGTGGACCGACGAGCACCGAACAACTCGAAAAACAGGCACTGGACGACAGAAGGTGACGTNCCTCCCTCGTTCAAACTCCGTAAGTTGCTTGAATTTCTTATTCTTCCGTCGTGGAGGCATACTCAGGTCTCACTAAACGTTTGCCACTAACAAATAATCATAGACTATTTTCAACGTCCCGCTACAGCACTTTATTTATACGCTTTCAGCATCAATTCAGAGGGCGCTGCGCGCGCCACGCACGCGCGATGGCTCTGAAACTTTATTAATTTGCATAATATCCTATAATTGACATTTGCTGCAAATTTCATTTGATTCTGATGATTCCTTCATGGTGTTGCATTTTCTACAAACAGCAGTTTATATAGATATTTATAAAAATAAAAGTGCTCAGCAATAATAAATAAAATATTTTCCATAAAAAAACTTGTTTTCATATGCTTTTTTTTTTTTAAATTTTCATACGTTTATTCAAATCTAATTATCCTTATTCCTATATTTGATTTTTATAATTAATTTCGTTCATCTGGAAAGAAATAGGTCGTGTAAATTTGTTTTATGCTTACCAACGCAATCCGCATCCTTTTGCCCTTTCTTAGCTTCGTCTACTGGTTTAAAATCTTTTTTACACTCACAAGTAAAAGTGTTGCCATTCGCTACACATTCCGTATTTTTTCCAGTACAATCAGTGACTTTGCATTCATGAGTTGCTGCTAAAAAATACAATAAAATAAAAACGCTAGTTTGATTATACATAAAAACTCACTATATAACTTTTTCTGGATTCTATCCAAAGTCTTTAATCTGAAGTTTAGAACCACCTAAACTCAAACGAGAATATTTGTCGCTGTCACTTTTAAAAGTTAAGTTCTCTCATGCCAAAACAGGTCATTACGTAATTGTTAGCGTACTTTTGAATTCTTTATTTTAAACTTACTACAAAAGTGTCCAATTTGCTCAATATTACTTATGTTTTTTATTAATGTTGCTGTCCCTAAAGATTTAGATTTAACAATTTTTCAAAATGAACGAAGGAAAAATATTCATTTCATTAACCAAGATCAGCGATGAATGCCTTTTCTCCATTATCTCAATCGTTTTCTTTGGTTTCCTGCCACATTTTAGAGTTTATGTTAAATAAAATCTATTCAAAAAGACAAAATGAATAATTAAATTATTATTTTCTAACTTTTAAGTAATTTAGTTCGTGCGATTTTGTTTCACTTTTGAGCTTTCAGGGGATTAAAGGATCAAAAATAATTTCAAAATAATTTCAGTATGATATAGCAAAAAATCAAGCAAAATGCTAGTAACTTGCATCAAATTTTTTGGGTTTTCATGCAAGATGATTGCATAAATGTCCTAAACTTAGCTGAAGTAATGATGGAATTTAGGATATGTTGATAAATAAAAGAATTTTTTTTCGTCATACTTCATTTTTTTACTACAAGTTTGAAAATATTCAATAAAATTAAACAACATTTTTAGAGAAATTCAAAATTATTGTTTTAAAACTTGGAAAAAAAATCACTAAAAGTCGCTCAATGAGCATTTAAATTAGTTGCTTTATCTTGAACATGAGCAAGCAAATTTTAAACTTTGTAGTAAATTGTAAATGGCAATTAATGAAAAAAGTCTTATTTAAATTTCTTAAATCTTTAAATATCATTAATCAACTTTCGAATCACATTCTGTACTTTTTTAAAGATTACTCAAAAAAATAAGGTACTTTTCAATTCCATCATTTCTGAGATTAAAAAAGATTTATTAAAAGTGACACCACAATTATTTAGTAGCAGCGACCTTTAATGTATTTCTCCNCAAAAATAGGGCTAAAAGTAAGAGTTAGGAAAGGTTACCAGTAAGAACCTAAATCGAGAGATTTTTTTCATCAACAATGGATCCGCTTAAATTCTGTTAGTATCAATAAGAGCTATCTGTGCTAAAAATATTTGTAAAACTTTCTTATTGTAAGCCTGACCGACATCACTTCACAGTCTCATCCAATTCCTCGTAAAAAATGCTTACAAAACAAACCGTCACTAATGCTTAAACTTTAAGTAGAAGCGAAATTCCTATTTTCTCCTATATCTTTCCAGGGAAATTCAAAAAAAAAAAAAAAAAATGAATAACTAACAAGGTTGGATTTATATATAAGC